CTTATAAAAGGGTCTTAAGACTCAATATTTCAACAAGAATAGTAAAACACTTATTTTCGTAAATAATGTCTCGAATACTTTTTTGGTAAAAGAAGTTATTAATATTAATATAAATTTATCATATATAACCTTTAATTTATTTTTATCCTGCAACTTACCTTTTTTTGATATTACAATTCATGACAACTTGACAAGAGAGTGATTGGTACACAAAGTTTGGCTTAAAGATGTAATTATTATTCCGAAAAAAAAAAAAAAAAAAAAAAAAACTTCAACTTTAACCCATAACTTATGGCTTGTTTGGTACGCATCTAAAGGAGTTGGAAGCCTAAATTTAAAATTCTTTTTCCAAAATTTATCTCTAAAAAAGTTAACGAAAATTTAAATAAATACTTCTAAAGCTAGGGACAAGAATAATAACAATTGCTCAAAATATAATAATTATTTTTTGATAAATTAAAAGTTAAAAAAAGAATTAAATTTCTAATTTTTAAAGCAGATTAAGGAACTTATAAGAGAGAGGGAGGGAGAGGTGGCTTAGTGGAAAGTATGATGGAATGGAGTAGTACTATGAAAGGAAAGGAGTGTTGAAGCTATGAGTAGGAAGCATGGAGAGAGAGACCTTCCTCAGAAAAATAAGCCACAAAAAGCTAACTTTGCTCCCACACACATGCATATAGGCAAACTTATAACACAAGCGAAGTTGAGTTGATGGTGCTTTTGACTCTTTTCCCAGCTTTCAGTACGTAATTAAGCACTTAGCCCACGCAACAAATCATTGCTCTAACAAGTAGTGACCATTCCACTCATCATACGGCATTAATTTTTTTGGAATTTTTTGTTATAAATATTAATTTATCTCTCTTTTTCATGTATATACACAAGCAAACACATAAAGAAAAATTAATATTTTATTCAATTAACAAAAATAAATAGTCAGTTCCGGTGGATGCAACAAATTGCGGATTAGCTGAGCTAACCTTGTTCTTTAATATAAAGATAAGAAGATGGATAAGGGTGGGGAAAGTAACGGAAGGAGTACTTGCCTCATGGTTTACTAATAATGGGAGGATTTTTTTGCACTGGCTTTGACTCTCCTACCTATTTCTCAATGCTTTTTCCTTGCCATTTCATGATACATGTGATACATAACAACACATGCTAACAGAGTTCGATTAAAGTTTTTTGGAGAGTCAAGGTATGATATATATATATATATATAATTGCATAGTGTACCACTTTATATTTGCGTATTAAACTGTTGATAATAAGATATTGGTATTTAAATTTAAGAAAAAATATAAGTAAAATAATACAAACGAAAGAACAAATTTGGTAGAAGTAAATTTGCAGAATAAACAACTAATGGTTGATTTTATATCATGAGAATATAAATTGATGCCATTATTACTTATTTATTGTTTTTTAGACATTATTTTTATATAATATAAATTTCACCTCTACATTTTAGTCCTTAAAAATTTGCACTACTTGATAACAATCACTCAAAAATATTAATTTTTTTTCTTTTAAACCCTCAGCTAATTTCTCAAAACTTTGAATTTATTTTAATATTATCTATAAACTTCTAATTTATTCATATAAATCTCCTAATACGCGCAAAACTAAAAGTTGAAGGAGGCCATTATATATACTATTAAGACAAAAAAAGTTTTTCATGGTGGAGCCATGGCGCTCCCTGGTCCCCGCGGCGGAAACTCCGCCACTACAATACATGTATCACAAGATAATGGTAATGAATTTTAAAATTTTAAATTAAAAATAAAATTAAAAAAATAGACCGAATTTTTTTAATTCTCGCTATAACTAAGTATAATCTTAATTTATGCATGTGACTCCAAATTATTATGATTGAAATTCCACCGAAATATAGCATCCTATCTGCCCTCTCAATCTCTCCCCATCTCATTGTTTCATTAACTAAGTAGTAATTACGTTATTAACTGTTAATTTAAATGAGTCATAAGGAGTGTACATTATTAGTGGCGAATTCATGCCAGTGACCCATGTCTTTGGTTGGTCATGATACGTCCTCATTAGAAAGCAGCCCGTTTGATTTAGTAGGTCCGCCCGGTTCATGAACAGGGTTGAGTGGCTTGAGTCTTTTGAGTGTAGGATTGCTGCTTCAAACCCAAGGCATTGTCAACTCTTCTCATAAATAATGCCCCAGTTTGTCATCAAAAGCCATCATTCTAAAGCAAAATACCCTTTTCAGAAAAGCTTTTTTACGGGGGACTGGTTTGGTTTTGATATTATTTTTGAAAAAAAATAATATTAATATGAATTTGAAATAGGAGATTAAAAGAAAGATTTAAGGGATAGATTAAGAAAGAATGAAATATGTAAAATTACTAAGGGTGTCAATTTTCGACACAACTTGTAGACTTGCATAGTAGGATTAGGGTTGCGCTTAAATGAGATTGGATTTGATAATGGATTGATTGGAACGTGTATGGTGTTATGGGGTTATAAGCTTCAAATTGATTCGGAATTAACAGATTTGCAGATGTTTTTAGAATGTTAGTTTTGAAATTAAATTGAACAGAAGGCTATTAAGTTAAACTAACTACTTGCATATGAAAGTTCATATTTTCTTGAATTTTAACATAATATGAACTCCAATTGACTTGAAACCAACTCTAACAAGTTTGTTAAGCTGAAATGGATAGTATCTGATCTTTGGAACCGAACTGTAACCCTTATTCCTCATTTTGATGCAAATAATTATAGAGTAGAGTCAGAGTTGGATTTTGAAACTCAGAAATTAATCCAAAATAAGCTAATTAAAGTTAATTGGGTTAATTGGCCCAACCCAAATCCACCGACCCAAATCTGATCCTTTTAGGCCCAATCCGATAAAAAAATATGGTGGGCACAAGAGACCCTATTTTGTTCTTTACCCCTTTCAAACTCGAGTGAATTATTACTTTTATATATTTTAATATTATATTTAAGATATTTATACATTAATTGAAATTGTATTGCATTTTTATTCAATTTACTTACATTATATAATAATTTTGAATCTTAGAGTCTATCTATATCTATATTTCGCATTTAGATATATTTATTTTAAAAAATATTTCAGTCAATCGAGATTATCATATTTAATAAAGTATTATTAAGGCGTATATTGAATAAAAATGAATTAATAATAATTAGAACTACTCATGGTGAGTAAACCCGTCGCAATCCGGACAGGCGTGGGATGATAACGTATCCCGTATGATATGGCCTTTTACGCTTCTTGCGGATGAGCAAAAGCCCTCTCACAGCCTTGATTGGCGGTGAGGGGGTGTGGAAGCTTATTTGCTCGCAGTCAGATGGGGTCTGGTAGAACTTTCCCAGCTCTTAACGACCTTGTTTAGTTGGTTTTTCGAAAACAACATTTTATTTTTGGAAATAGAGAACCCGTTTGCAGGCTGTTTTCTAAATCATTTTCAGAAATCTTTCAAAAGAAGAGTCCAATTTTAGAATTCCAAGGAAAGATTTTTGTTCGAAAACGACGGTGAAGTTTGAAGATTTTTGGTACTTCTGTTTCACAAAAAAAAATGAAAACTAAGAATATAAAAATATTAAATCGACATTTGAGTCATGAATGGAAAACCCAAATCTACAAATCAAATCATAAGATATCAATGTCAGATAGGATGTATCCGATATACAAAACAAATGATATACATTTTTTAAGAACAAAGACAAGTTAATTATGGATTAAAGTAAAATATCAATGTCAAATAGGATGAATCCGATAAAAACCAAACGAGAAACATATTATGGATTGTATCGTCATATAGTCAAAATTGGAAGGCGCTTGCCCCTTGAGCAAGCTATACGGCTCCGATTACTGCCACGTTCTATCATGAATTGTACAGCTGTAATTACCTGTACGTCCCATCTTGAATTCAGTGATTTATTCTATATTGAATATTAATGAATGAAATTTTATGACAAAGATTGATAATAAAAAAATTTGTTTTTCTTGGTTTTCACTGACCCCCAGTGTGACTGCAATTCGATTATGCCCATTGGATCCAGTCTAAGTCTGTTCAGATTTCAGAATCAGCTGGCCCATGAATCATGCCGATTCATAGAGGAATCTCAGCCACCTTTGATTCATCACGAGTAATTCCAAATGTTTGGCAACTATAGTCGAGAATTCAGCTGCCATTCGGATCAAGAATCATAAGATTTGAACAACAGTGGTAGGCAGCCCATCAGTTTAATGCCTGCAAGGAATCAAATTCCTCCAGATCGAGAGAGAATATGCAATTCTGTAATAACATTAAACAGACATTAAACAGACAATGGAATGGCAAAGCTCAACCTGCAAGAACCAGCTGATTCCTAGAATCACTCTGTTTTCAAAAACCCAAAAACTTTGTTGTTTTTAATTTGAACTGATTTATGGACTCCGACACTAGAGAAAGTGGCAGAGAGGAGAGTCAGAGGACCTTATGCATTGACATCCACTAGATCATTTAACCTAAACCACAAGCTATGACATGGGCCACAACTAGTAAGCAGAAAAAGAAATCACAAGTTATAAAGAGCCAAGCATGTCTAAATCCAGTTACAGAAAAGAACACTGAAAAAGATCAGCAAAATCTGAATGTACCTCAAAACCAAAAGTAAAAAGCAATTGCAGAATAAGAAGAAAAAAGTAGGGGGAAAAAAAAGATGGAAAGAGACAGTAAGTATACAACCTTTGTCAAAGGCCAGAAAAGAAAACTAACTACAACCTCCCCTCCTGTACAAAAAGATGACTCACAGTACTTTAAGCCGTGTAATCTTTAAGATCAACTCCGAGGATGAATATCCATGAATATGGGCACAACTTCTATTCATTTCATATAGTGACTGCCAATATGTGTGGAGGTTCCAATACTTGGGCCTTGCTATTACCATAATATCTTTCCTCCTGAAAAACATTAAACCAAAGCAAACTCACGCAGGCTTTTGGATTAACCAAGAAGTTATCATCTTCCCTCAGACTTCACCAACTGAGAGAACACCCTACTCATTGAAACACCTGAAAGATCATCTGCATTGGACGCTTCAAACTGGTTTGCTGAGATAGTGGTATCCACATTATTGAGATTGTTAACTTGTGAAGACAGCTCCAGAATTGCATTAGTACTGTTCTCTTCGGGATCATTTTGAACAACTGCCTCTTGAAGTTGAAGGCAGTACTCCAAATTCCACAAGACATCACCCATGGAAGGCCTGTCAACACCAAATTCAGCCAAACATTTTTCTGCTGTTTCCCCAAACTTCCTAAGAGAATCCGGTTTTATTTTTCCCACAAGGTTGGGATCTATAATCTGCTCCAACTGCCCATTCTTCTGCCACTTCATTGCCCATTCAGCTAAATTCACCATCTCTCTTGGAAGAGTGGGATCTATTACAGGCCTTGCACACAGAACTTCGAACAAGACCACTCCAAATGAGTACACATCAGATTTCTCTGTCAGTTGTTGCCTTCGGAAATACTCAGGATCAAGGTACCCAAAACTGCCTTTTACAGCTGTACTCACATGAGTCTGATCAATTTCAGGTCCCGTCTTTGAGAGCCCAAAATCAGCAACTTTAGCCAGGAGATTCTCATCCAGTAATATGTTGGCAGACTTCACATCCCGATGAATGACTGCTTTTGAATAGCCAGTGTGGAGATAGTGAAGTCCTCTGGCCGCTCCGATGCATATCTCAAGTCTATCCTTCCAACTCAAGCTGGGCCGATCTGAGCCATAGAGATGACTCTTGAGTGTTCCATTCTCCATATATTCGTAAATCAAAATCATCTCATTTTTCTCATCACAGTACCCAATCAACGAAACCAAATGACGGTGCCGAAATTGGGAAAGCATCTCAATTTCAGTTTGGAATTCTGCAATACCTTGTTGTGACTGAGGATTGCCCCTCTTAACAGCAACCTTTGTCCCATCATTTAGAACGCCTTTGAAGACCCTGCCAAAACCGCCAATTCCAATAACCCAACTCTCATCAAAGTTATTAGTAGCTTCCAATACTGCAGCAAAAGGAAAACGATATCCCAAATTAGAGATTGCACTGAGGGTTGTTCCGTTTGAGTATTTACTCCCCATGGTGAGGGATGTTCCACCATAGATGGAGAAAGGAACCCAAGTCTTCGAATGGCCAAGACGTGCCATTTTTCTTCTTCTGCAAAACAAAAACAGGAACACTGCCAAGAAGACCACTACAACACAAGCAATGCTCAAGCCAACTATCATCCCCACATTTTTCTTTGAATTTGATGAGAAAGGCACGCTTGCGATGACAGCACCACCTAGACTACCCATAGAATTATTCATCTTCATAATCTCCAGTCCATTTAGAATGGCATCTGGGTAAGCGTTAACAGTAGTGGATGGTCCGATACTGACACGTAGCTTACCATTGTCATTCACTGGGGTAACAATATCCATGTAGTATGCTACGGCCAGAATATTTACGTTTATAGTACTGAGATCAAGGTTCGGAGCTGCAATCCATGAATTGATGTAAACATTAAAATACAGCTGGTTGGGAGATTTACTCACAATATCACAGAAATGAAACCGAACAAAATACTGAAACCCTGGATCCACATCAAACTCCCATGTTACATTGAATATGCTAGTGGGATTATCTTGTGAATTCATCTCAGTGCAAGTACCATAAACAGTAGGTGGAGCAGTATCTTCAGTTGCCCCACCCTTTGGATACTTAACAGCTCCAATATTTGTAACATTTTTAGCAAAGTTGGCCTGAACCAGGAAATCATTATCAGGCACCCAAGTTCTCCAAAGCCTATCATTCGCAGGCGATATTCTTGGTCCTCCCATATTCACCCTCTCCACCGTCTCCATTGCCTGAGTCAACAAGCCCTGGAATTTAACGGCAGGGTTAACCAGATTGGCATCATCAGTAATCAGTCCATTAGGAACCGAAACAACTTCAATAGCATTCAGGAAGGCGAATGAATTGTTGGTGGGGATAAAGCTGATTTCTAAGGTCTCAGAAGTTACATTCAGGGAGAATTCTCTGAAAGAAACGTTCTTAGGACTAAAGTGGCTAAGAAGTGTATAGTCTTGGGCTGAAACAGAGAAATTTGCAGAGCTCATGCTGTAATTTCCAGAAGCAAAAGGGTAGAAATAGAGGCGAATCCAATGCCTTCCACTTTGGCTGATTGAGAAAGTGTATTTAGAGGGACCTGTAAAGATTCTCGCCGAATCGTAGAGCAGCGAATCATCGGAAGATGTGATGGGCTTTAAAGAGGTATTGACCAAAATGTCTTGTGGGGTTGAAAGGAGCTTCGAGGCAAAGCCATCGGCGACGAAGACTCGACCGCCGACGGTGGTATTCGTGGGGGATCCACAGTCTATTAAGTACTGGTCTGCCGGAGTGAACCCAGTAGAAAAGCAAAAGAAAGAACATGCGACTGAAATCCAAAAGAACGACTCCAATATTCCGAAACTCATCATCGAGAAATCTATAAATTTCAGGACAAAAAGAAATCTGGGTACTTGAGCACCGAAAATCTAGGGTTCTTATGCCGGAAAAACAATAACAGTTGGGATTTACAGATAGAAAACTAAAAACCCATTGACAGAAATGAGAAAGGAATGGACGAGGTCACCTTAGAGATCAAGCCAGCTCGAAGAGAGACAGACCCAGTTGGGAAATAGCAAGAGAAGGGCGATTTGGATGCCATACAATTACCTCAAAGAGCGTAGACCCAGATAAGATAAACGAACAATTGGGTTTCGCATTACAGCGTGAATCCTGCAAAGCCAGAGCAGCTTGAACTGTAGAACAGCCCAGATCTTGACAGGTTCCTAGATTCCTTTTTTCAAAAAACTCCAGCCAAAATAAAAGCCACAGATGGAAAGGAAATAAAAATATAGAGTCAAACGAGGCCAACGAAGCTTCAAGAGGAGCTGATGTTTTCCGGGTGAATGGTTCTGTAACTGATGGAATGGAAGAATGGTAGAAAATAGAGAGCAGAGAGAGTAATAACTCCGGGGAAAGCTCGCCTTCAATAACGCCGTAGCGCTCGGAGAGAGAGAGAGAGACAGACATCAGACTAGAAACTTCACTCCCGAGTAACTGGGTACTTGTGGCCGTCAATCACTCTGCAAGAAAACCCAAAAGCGGTTTTAACGCGTTCGACCTCACTGCAGTTTTTTTTTTTTTTAATTTTCGGTATTTTACAAATTTGACATCGTTCATCAAAAATTCGACGGCCGTGACACCAGCAGGTTACCAATATTAATTGGTGTAAAGGTCTATTTGTTGAATTAAATTTTCTTAATTTTATATAACTCGTTTTATGTATTATTATTTTATTATTATTACTTGAACATCAAATATGCTGAATTGACAACTGTGGGGGGAAGGCGGGGGGGGGGGGGGGGGAAGCAAAAAATTGAGATACGTATGCTTTTGATTACTTAGTGGGTGCCTTTTTGTCATTTTCATTATATTGATATTTTTTTCCTATCAATCACATCAAATTTTGGGTTATTTTAATAATAAAAATTTATTTATTTAGATCAAAGTATTTAGTGTAATATAAATTTTGAAATTCAAAATAATGAATGAGAATATAAAACCAAAACATAAAATTTTTACACTTGTGCAGAGAAAGTATATTTTTCCTTTCAAAAATATAAAACAAAAAAAATTAATTTGAAAAGTAAAATATGTTTCCAGAAATCTTTTTAAAAATAATATCATTTTCAGCCAAAAAAAATTAGTTGCTCAAAAAAATAAAAACAAAAATAAAATAAAAGTGAAATTTACCTTGTCAATTTGAGTACTTGGTGGTGAAAAGGAGAAGTCTTGGGAATAGAATAAACTAATCAAATCTGAGTTGTAATCCCATGAATGGTTCCATGAATTCTGTACGTGCTAGAGAAATGTGGAGTCGGCTCTGTTTGGAAGCTTCTCATATAATAATCTCTCTTTATAAAAGGGGTGTTAGGCCAAATAATTCGTCAATCACTTTCCCACTTGACTTTGGGCTTTTGAAAGGTCACAACAAGTGACGCTTATCTATATACATAATATATATATATATATATTATGCATATATATTATTATGTGTTAATTTATAGAATTATTATTTGTTAATTTAAATAATTATTACGTATGAGTGATATAATTTATATTTCTTGTATTACATCAAATTTATATATTTTTTATATATTTTTATATTTATATTTAATATTTTATATAAAAATACGAATTCTATGCTATTCTACATCTGGTGCAAAGCACAAATTTCAAAACTAATTAGTTGAGTTTACGGTTGAAAATAAAAAATTACTCCTAAGTAGATTTTTTCCCTTCTTTTCTAATAATTAAATCACGATTTAAGCAAAATTTATGATTTTACCTGCTCATTCCATCTCCCATTACGTGGACAGAACGAAGAGTCTTTCAATAAAAATTTTAAGTGAAAAGGTTATCTAATAAACGATAATCCAATCTAATGATATAAATATATATTCATTAAAATAAATATGAATGTAATAAAATATCAGTCAAAAGACAATTATGAATTGTAGATAGAATTTGTGAGTTAGGTATAATTAAAAGTTAGGAATGAGATTAGGATAAGACCAGCTTGATTTTATCTTTGTGAAATTAATATAAGCAGGAAGATTAAGGCTAGGGTTGGGGTTAGAGTATCATGAATATTTTGTTATTTCGGCATTTGACATGATTTCGAGGGTTTATATCCTTGGACAATGTTGTGTTCAACATTGAATTCTATTTATCTATGTAATTATTTGTTTGTTTAGTTCGAAATATTACTCTCACACTAACAGATTGGTTTGACGTACTTGATTTGCTCGCGCCACAAAACAAAATAGTGGCCCAATTGGAAGCGTTAGAGAGTATGGTCTATGCTCTAGAGACCAAATTCAAAGGCAAGACTAGATGCCCACACCAACAAAGTGTAGGCCAAATTTGAGGCAAGATTGGATGCCTACACGGTTAAAGTAGACAAATAGCTACCAACATAGACCTGGACACGAGATGTCTAGTAGGAGACCTCTGACAAGACCCTTTTGCTTGGCCTCCCTATTCTCCCGTTTAGAAATGTTTGTCCTGTCAAGAACGTCCATTTAATGTTAGATCCAACGTGCAGCACATTAATAAAAAATAAGTATGTGTAGAAATTAAAAAAATTTAATTTTTATTTTATATTTAATTATATAAAAAAAATTTACATATATATTATCAAATATTAAATTATTTTATAAATAATTAAAATACATTTATTTTATTTTTTATATTTTTTAAAATAAAAAAATACAAAAATTAATATTATTTGATCTGTACACATGGCTGTTTCTTATTGGTCTGATGAGTGTTGCTCCCTAGAACAGCACCTAGCATCAAATAGACCATTAAACAATATTAGCGCTGCTGGCCACTTTTCTAAGTGTTCTAGCCCTTATACAAGAATTTCACTTTATTCCGGTTCATTTGATATTAGGTACTGCTTCACTTGGCAGTACCCTAACATTCAATAACATTATGCTATGTGTACTATTTTTTAAAATAAGTTTATTTTATTTTTTACATTTTAAATTTAAAAGTGAAATATAAAATAATTTAATTTTTTCTTTGTTTAAAAAATATTTTTTCTTTTTTGATTAAATATATAATAAAAAATTAAAAATAAAGAATTAAAAAATTTATATACATGACATAATGTTGTTGAATACCAGTATCAGCGCCTGTATCAAATGGGTCTCCGTTCCCACGAGTGGACATTCCGGTGCCTACGGTAATTATCGCCATCTGGCGTGAATTTTTGTTGGCAAGGGATGATGAAACAGGTATAAAAATTTGTGAGTGCATTTTGGCAAGAGACTAAAACGCTACATGGTACTACGTTAATGATGAGCTTGGCACATCATCCAAAGAACGAATGGTCAAAAAGAAGTAAAAAATTGCAAGCTGGAAACCTACTTGAGGTGTTTTGCGTCAGAGCAACAGCATGCTTGGGTTCATTGGTTGTCTTGGGCTAAGTTCTCCTATAACCCCTCCTTCCACTCTGCAATTGGACAAATTGCCTTTGAGGCTGGTTATAGTTGTCCCCCACTAGTGATTAAACAATTTATATGCACAATGAGTATCGAGTAGAATCTGTCACAACAGCCCTGCAAAATAGGGATGAAATCCTTTGATGGTTAAAGTTCAATACACATGGGGTTAAAATTGGATGTAGCGTAGCACAGATAAGCATTGTAGAGATATTCAATATTCAGTGAGATAACTAGTCTTCCTCAAACTTTGACTTTATCAACAAACCTCCAATGCCCCTAAGGTGCATTCAAAATTACCTGCTCTTTACTATGACCCATTTGAGATGGTGAAGAAAATGGAGCAAGTTGCTTACAAGCTAAATTGCCAGAAAATAGTCAAAAGGCGGAGACTACGGTACAACCTTCAAATAGGTTGTTTAAAACATTGTCCACGTGGACCAATTATTATTGGCCACGTAGATTACTTCAGGGACTAAAATGTAAATATTTTAAAAGATTAAAACAAAGTGTAAATATTTGAGGGACCAAAGTGCAAATACTGCACTTTGGTCGTCTTCCTCCTCGTCGCCGATACCCTCATCGCCGCACCGCAGCCTGAGCGAAGCAATGGACTCATCTTCCAGCACATCATCATCATGAGGCACGACGATTTGGAGTCGATCTGCCTGCACGCCGTGAACTCAAGGCAATCGGGTTGGATCCGTTCTTCTTCTGCTCCAGATCTGCTATTCGGCGTATGTCCTCGCCGGTGCCCGCATCCTCTGCAAGGCTTATGACCTTAGGTTGCCGTTTCCTGTCCTCCGCCAGCTTGAGCACACTGATCTTTAGCACAGCGTCCTCCAGGTAGGCCTTTATGGGATCAAGATCAGCGTTCGCCGGCAGCCGAAACTGCCTCAAGAACTTTTCGGAAGCACGCTCAGCCCTGTGCCACTTCTTGCCCTCCACCTCAGTCTCTGCCTTCCTTTCGCCGCTAATCCTGAGTACTCGGTTCTCCTCAACTCGATCTTCACGTCATCCTTCCTTAGCCTCGGCACGTCCAGCATGATCGCGTGTGCCGCCGGCGTCTCTTTCCAATCGCATCGCGCTAGTGCGAGCGATTCAACGCTTTTAGGGACCGTGAATGGGATTTGCTCAAGGACTCGAAATGGGTTTTCTGATGGGAACATGAGATCGAAAAGGTGGCTTCGAGCGGCGAGGAAGGAGAAAATCGGGCTACTGCTTTTGGATGAACAGAAGGAGAAGATCAAAAAGAGATGATCGGCCGCGGCGAACGGCTTCTACGACGAGGAAGACGGCCAACAGTGCATATTTGCACTTTGGTCCCTCGAAGTATTTTCATTTACTTTGGTCCCTCAAAATATTTACACTTTGGTCCCTGAAGTAATCCACGTGGCCAATAATAATTGGTCCACGTGGGC